TTTGTTCTTCTAACGAGCTTCCTAAATGAAGCTGAGTCAGTGGAAAGACTCCATTCCTACGGCCAAAAGGAGCAGACATGTGACCTGATTAATACGCACCATTATACAACACAATGCCAGGTAATTAAGGCGACAGAAATCCACTCAGAAAGCTCTTGGCTTAGAATGTGTTTCTGACGCTCAGAGCTGCTGAGACGAAACACATTCATTTGACTGCAGCACATTGTTTTAATTAGACGATGACAGGACTTTCCAACTAAACTAATTGTCTTGTTTTTCTGAGATTTTTTTTACAATTGAGTTGGGTTTCTTGTCCTTCTACGTCAAAGAAATAATGTTTGATAAAAATCTGAATCAGTAACAGAATCTGTATCAGGTGGATATCAATTGAAGAGATTGGTATTTAATTGATATTTTATGTTACTTTGTACTTAAACATATCAGTTCTGTCAATATCAGTCACCTGCTGTCTTAACTGAACAGGTCTCACTGTCCGCGAACACATTTAGTGCTCTTTGCACACTGTGGTATAGTCTCTATGCTAATGTCATTACTTTTCACTGTAATGTCATGACTCTTCACTGTAATGTCACAAGTCTTTATCGCAATGGCGTGACTCATTGCTGAGATGTCACAACTCTCCATTCTAACGTCATGACTCCTCACTGTAATATCAAAACTCCGCCACAGCCGGTCGGGCTGACATGTGGAGAACCTGCTTGCATGTCCTTTGCCCCGTCAGGTTATCAGATTCCCGCTTTTCGGTGTTATGCTGATTAAAATAAGCCTGTCGGAAAAGGGCTCAACTTAAATGCCACTGAACCTGCGATCTTGACTGGACTAATCCGACATCTACAGAGCCCTTGAGTAAGAGGCAGCGAGGACCCAAGTGACGCCTTTAACATCTTGTTATGTTTATTCAAGGGGCCAGGCTGCATAATGTGCTTCACATACACTTTTAAAGGCACATTTATTATAGGGCTTTGAAGTGCTGTCAGGTTCCTGACAGAATAACACTTTGCTGGGTTATAAGCAGACACAGCGCTGGACGGTATTGGAGCCGTATGGTGTCGTGTTAAAGTCACGCTATGATTTAATGACAGCGTTCTAATGCTTCATTCTACGGTCCTGCTGGGCATATGGCCCCCTGAGAGCCCAGCTAACGCTGCCCCCCCCCCAGGGTAAAACCAGGAAACCATTCTGGCCGGGGCTTTGGGTCCCATCCCGCGTGAAGCTGAGCTTCAGGTCTGCACAGATCAGGATGAGTTGCTGATTGGACGGGTTTAACAGGGATCCTAAATCCCTTGACGGCGGGGCAGCTTGCGAAGGCCATAATAACATATTCAGCGGGAACCAAAATCACACCTGAGGTCAGTTAAATTACAGTGTGGGCGTTAGGCAGATGCTCACAGACCAGTAAGGTTTAATAGGCCCGACCAGGTTTTATGTGGTATATCAGTTAGAGCAGGGGTGGGCAATCTTATCCACAAAGGGCCGCTGTGTGTGCAGGTTTTCGGTGCAGCTGCCAAATTAGATTACTAATTAGAGGGCTGATTGGCTGAAGAGTCCTCACACCTGGGTTTGAACAGCTGACCTAAAGGTTACCCCAAACACCTGCACACACACCAGCCCTTTGCGGATAAGATTGCCCACCGCTGGGTTAGAGCAATTGTAGGCATTAGAGCCACTAAACACGCAAATCCCTTTATTCAAGCTGATTAAGATACTACATCATAACTGCCAAAGAACTGATTGATGCACCTTTTACTTAATTATTTAAAGGCTGATTTAAAGGCCCGAGGCCCCAAACTTCACCAGTGCTCTGAACGCTGTTGTTTCCCCTGACAACAGCATCCGTGCACAGGCCAGTAGTCCAAGGCGGGAGGTGTGGCGGGGAGGGGGGGGCGCTGGGGTGCTCAAAGTGGAGTGGCTACCCATTCAAGAGTGGAAACCCTGGGGAGACATTCCACCTCCTGCTTGATGGTAAACGACAAGCGCCTATGGCCGGCAGAGGATGGGAGAGCGCCTCCCCCTGGCCGGCACAGCCCCGACGGCACAGTCTGCTGCCCAGTCCAGGACAGATGACTCTGCCTTTGTGCTCTCAGCCAGCCTCCATCAAATGCTACTCTTTCATATGCAGATATAAGGACGAGTCACATTCGTGACAAAAATCTGTCTGAAATCCAGCACGATCCTGTCACAGCAAGACTACGTGAATGATGTAGCAGCACTGAGCCTTTAGAGTTTAACGTCCACTGCGGACTATAAATGGACATGATATATAATCAAAGAAACTTCCTATGACAAAAATCTACACCGAGCGGAGAGTGAGACGGAGAGACCAGGAGATGGGGACAGGTACCAAAAGGCAGACAAGGAACATGAAGAGGCAGATCGATCCATAATATTGGGGGAGAGGCTCACAGCCCCCATCGAGCCGCCTGCTTGGATCCCCCCCGTCAAACGGCATTTAAGCCTGAAGCTCCCGTCCTTCAAGTCTAGCTGGCGCATTGTGTAATAGAGACGTTGGCGGTGGCAGAGACTGACTGGCATGGGCGCGCTTTAAATAACGCACGGTTTACCAGCTTGGGGCACGTCCCTCTGACAGGGCCAAGATTACCTGCCAGTCATAAATCCCCCCCCACCAACGCCGCCCCCAGATAGAAGCAGATCAATGGCTCGTAGGTAAGGCCGGCTAATGACAGAGCGGCAGCCCTAGCAGAGGAGCGGTATGAATGTTTAACATGCTCCTGGGAGTGCTACAGAGGAGATGGGGGCCGGAGGAACTTACTGCCCGCTTGGCCACCACAGAGTAAAGATTTGGATCATGAACTTCAGCTATTATGGCCTCACCCTCACAGTTGTGACATACATGCCTCTATGAACTCATCAAAGAAAGACTAGGCTGTTATATTCAGTCCATTTGAGACAATGTAATGTGAAAACGCGCTATACAAAAATAAATTTGTTGTTGTTGTTGACTGGCTGGCAGGGAGACAGAAACATGGACTGACTATGGGTCCCAGAGGACCGGATTGGGAATCACTGCATTAAGGGTATCGAATGACTCCCCGTCTGTGTAAGAAGCAGGGAGATAGGAAATGGGGTGTTTTGCAGTATTTACCTAACTGGTGGCTCTTGCTAAGGAGGCTGACAGGTCAGCAGATGAACAGTCATGTGAGTGAGCAGTCATGTGATCAGAAAGCCATGAGGTCACATTCACAACCCTCCCCCTCCTCCCGCAGGCACCTAGCTGGGCTCTGTCTCCAAGATTGCTTGGTGATGAAGCCATACGTGTTCATCCAACCTTGTCACCAGCTATATATCTCCCCATTTTTATAAAATACATTTATAGACCGAGCGCTTGTGTCTTCATTGACATGATGGGGCTGGTTTTGACTCACTCGAGGACAGTGTTTCTTGACAGAGCGATGGCCACTTAACGCACAGTGTCTCCCAAACATATGTAATATAAATCTTATTGTAATGTTTGGTAAAATGCATACATTCAGCTGGGTTGAAATAAAAGCATCATACATCAGATGCGTTCTGGAGATGGAGCAGTAACCTAAATGAAAGCAGAGGCAGTTGAGTTCCAGTACGGACATGCTCTGTGAGAGCCAAAGACGCCCAGAGGGTGGCGCTGTGACACCCCAACAAGCTGCAGACAGTCAGGCAGCATCGAGGGGGAGGAGGAGGGCGACACGGCAAGCTGACAGTTTGGGAAGGTCACAGGGCTTCCTGAGACACTTCCGAAACAGGAAGACAGCACACCCCCAACAACAAACCAGTCGCTGCCAGAGAATACTTTTGGAGAAACAAGAGGACAGCAGGAATACGAGTTCCAGGGCTGGCATGCAGGAAGGTGTGCGTTTGCGTGGAAGGACAGTAGTGAGGTTTCACCATGTGGCTACACAGCTGTTTGGGCTTAGGCATAAGAAACTCACCATGCATCGACACACCAAGTCTACTCATCTAGGACAACTGGCACACACAGGAAGGAGTTAGCTGTCCGCTACAGGAATTACTATCTCGGTGAGATCAGGGAAGAGGGACAGGAAGAGGAAATAAACACGTTTACCTTCTAGGTCAAGACACACAGCGGCTTGTGTGACGCATGGATAGAGATAAGAACAGCAACACGTATAAAAAAAGTGCAGCGCCCATGACAGCGACCGACAACAAACAGCAATGCATGTATGAAGACAGACCTATAAGAACAAAAACAGGGAAACAGTGCAAACATAACCAACAGCTCAGGTCATTACAGTACAGGAAGGTAGCACAGTGATTACATCTTAATCCCGTAATCTGCCTCCTGCAGGTCTGGGAAGGCGATACAACCCGGCAGATGTGACTGTGACTGCAGCTCATTAAATTACCCTAAACGGATGGAGACCGCAGGCACGCCAGCATGCCAAAGGGCACTGCCACTGAGAGCTGCTTACTGCTCCCCCTGCTGTGTGGGCTGGTAAACTACACCACTGCTCCTCCTGCCATTCGGTGGGACAAGAATCCCAGGACTGGCTCTACTCCCCAGAATCCAGTACAACTTGTAAAGTCGCCCAGCAGAAAAGCTCAGAAAAGCTCAGAACCCAGACAGACAGTACTGCTCACAACCTGGACCAGAACAGCTCAGAACCCAGACAAACAGTACTGCTCACGACTTGGACCAGAACAGTTCTGAAACCGAACAGACAGAACTCCTCAGAACTGAGACAAGAACAGATCAGAAACAAGACAGACAGTACTCTGCAGAACCCAGATCAGAAGAACTCAGAAACCAGAGAGACAGTACTCCACAGATCCGGGACCAGAACAGCTCAGAAACTGGACCGGCGGTACTCCCCGGAAAATACACAAGACTAGTCTGATTATGAAAAAGCACACAGACGGGCCAGCTGAGCCCCATGTGGACGACCCGGCAATGCGCTTCCCCAGGCGAGAGGCTGTGACCGGGCCTGCATTCCCCAGTGGCACAGGCAGGAGGCAGCACTTACCCTTCACTCTCTCCCCCCGGTTCAGCTGGATCTCGCCTTCCCCCTGAGGCGTGTAGGGCTTCACTACGATGAAGGTCCGGCCGGGGACAGCGCTGTACAGTTTCCGTTTGGGGCCCCGGGGCCCAGTGAGGGCAATGGGCTGCGGAGGAGGACTAGGGTCCCGCTGCACCGTGCTGGGGCTGTAAACGAAAACATAGGTTACCGTGGTGATCCCGGGCCGCGGACAGCTGAAGCCGGCGGTGGCCGACATGCCGGCGTGGCCTCGTCCTCCGTCCTGCTCCATCCCGGCGTGACCCAGGGCCCTCGTGCGCTGGGAGGGAAACTCCACTGGAGGGAGCCTGGGCTGCCCCCCCCGCCCACGCAGTGCCCCCCCACCGCCTCCGACACCTGCCCCCAACCCCTCCTCCGCTTGGTGCCCCCCCCTTCCCTTCTCTAGCAGCGGGGGCTGGTCGCGCCGGGCGGCGCTGGCTTGCTCAGGGTGCTGTCGGGGGGCGCCGGCGAGTCGCGCATGTGGGACGGGGGGGCGCGGAGCTCCGGCTCGGGCTGATGTTGCTGCTGGCGCCGCGGTGCGCCGGCCGCTCGCTCTGGCTCTGCAGCCCGTCCCTCTCTGCACATGGTACCGCCACCACTGCCGCCGCTCGGGACCCGATTGATTTGTGCCTGTACTCGGCTGCCTCCAGCACGTCTTCCGGGAGCGCGGGGGCACACACCGCCGGCCCGTTTGCTTAATTGTGGCTCTGCTCCACCCCCGTCCCCCCCTCCCTGCTCTCTCTCTTCCTCCCTCTCCCCCTCCTCCCCCTGCCACTAGCCCCTGGAAGAGGCAGCCTGAGAATGCTAATGGGACTGCGAGCTCCATCGCCGCGGCAACAGCAGCCTCTCACTCGCCGGTAGTGCGGCTGCTGCCCCCCGGACGCCGGGACCCTGGGACCCCCACTCCCCCCGCTCCTCCTGCCCACCCGCCGCTCAGCTCTTCGCCGTCCAGGTACAGGCATGACCCTGGTCTGCATTTTTCACCTTGTCTGTCTCTGTGTACATGTGTGTGTGTTATTGGGACAGAGCGACCCTTCAGCACATCACAAGCCGTTGCCGTGGTATTGCTGCTGCCCCACGTTTGCCGGGTCTGGGCTCCCTGCTCCCCTCTCTCTCTGGCTCTCTGCTCGGGGCATGGGGGAGCTGTACGGTAACGGCTGGTGTGGGCGCACTGTGACCGGGCAGCTCGGAGAGTGGGAACCGGGGGAAAGAGGGTGAAAGGATGAGAGAGAGGAGTACGGAGAGAGCGCAAAAAGCTGGGGCAGGGAGAGAGAGGTCAGAGATGAAGGGTGAAAGAGAAGGTGAGAGAGTAGAAAAAGAAGAAATGAGAGTGGAAGAGAGAAAGAAAGGTTGAGAGAGATAAGGGAAGGAAATGTAAGAGAGCGGAAAGAGTGAGTAGAAAAGAGAAAGAGTGTAAGAGAAAAGATGAAAGAGAAAGGGTCAGAGTGAAAGAGAGAAGGGGATAGTGGCTGCGAGAGAGAATGGATGAGAGGACAGAAAAAGTGGAAGAGAGGATGGCTGAGAGACAGACGGGAAGGAAAAAGGGACAAAAAGAGAAAGTGTGGAAGAGGGAAGGGGTGAAAAAGACTCACTGGGTGATGTCTACTGGTGCCACTGACCAGGCATTGTTCACCGAGTAACCCTTACTGGGTGATGTCCACTGGGTACCATTCACCAGGTACTGTTCACCACCTGATATTCATCACGACGCAGACGCAACATGCTGAAGGTCCATAAGCAGTCCTCACAGAAGCACCCTCCTAAATGAGCAGCTGCCCATGAGGTAACATCAACCACCTGGCACAACCTATCAGAGGACACCCCATCTCCACCCCAGACCTACTGTCCTGCATTCCTGAGTCAGCCATGCCATGGAGAAGATCTGATAATTATGAAAAACACCGACTGCGGCATGTTGCTTGTCTTCCTCAGGAAAACGTGACCAAACCCAGCTTCAAAGACAGAACTCTATGTCGCCATCAATCTCTGCATTGAAAAGGTAAATTGTGTTGAGATTAAAAGAGGCATGTAAGAAAAAGGTACTGAAGCACTGAAATTAAAAACTGAAGATTCTGCTGAGTTATTTTAGCTATTCAAAGTATGAATATTCCGCATGCAATTTCAGTGGTTTAAGTGTGTCTCATTCAGTAGATGCATACTCACTTTTATATGGAAAATGAGTCATCTCCAGACCAGCAGTGTCTAATTGGGGTTATTTCCAGCTCTCGGTTGAAACGAGAATGCAGGAATGCTGAAGTGAGCTCAGTCACCTTCAGCGATGTCACCGCTGATGCTTCATCTCTGCAAGATTTGGGAAGGACGCCTTGTACTACAGTAAACACAGGGATCCCGGACAGATTGCTAACTGCAGGGGTCCAGGCCCCCGTGTGCTGGCATGCAGGTTGTCTGCATCTGCATGTAACCCCCACGTAACCCCCGCCGTTATTTACCACTCAAACCACCTATTTGTGTGGGGCCCCCTGTTGGCCACAGACAGTCACTACACCAAATATTTAAAAAACACATTCCTTATTTAAGAGATGCTGAAGCAGAACATTCTGCTAACCAGCTAGCTAGCTATGATCTTCTGAATCGACTAGTTATTTTATTTAAAATCTGACGGGGTGGCCTCAGAAACTGCAAACCCGCCCCTACCCCCACCCCAAGAGAATGTGATATCCCCCACGTGAAAAATGTCTCTGCACCTCACTACTCCTTCACTTACGGAAAGATGTTCATAATTTTTGTGTATGATGCTTATACAATATACTCAGTAGCGCTATGAACTAAAAACAGCCATTACTTAATGTCCTAAAAGTCTCAAGTGATGTGCATGAGAAAAGTCAGCACAGGTGAGTTCATTAACCATTCCTTGTGTGATGACACACCTCACTTCCAATCAGGGTGAGGTTTCATGGCCCCTCCCCCCCTCCCCAGCGTATCAGCGACACGATTCTTCATCATGTGACAGGAAGCACACTGTAGCGTGATTAAAGCAGACAGCGAAACGTGCTACAAGCTCCTCAATCAGCTGTTTTCTCCATCCACCGTGAAATTAAACCAGCACGTCCTTGTCAGGGTCTGAGCCGATTCCGACGGAACGATGTTACAAGAGAGGAATGCTGGGATTCCGTGGAGAACCCAGGTGAAAGGAAACAGGAAGAGAGCGGGGACGGGGCGTTTGGTGCAAACCAAGCGATGGGCTGTTGGAAGCTGCGGTGGGGGGGTGTTATCTTTGTGTCTGTCATCGAACATGCAGCTGTTATTTTCCAGGGGCACCTTCCACAGCGACAGGGACACATTTTGAGTGTGGGAGGGAGTGGAGGCTTAATTAACTCTAATCTTCGGTCATAACTCAAAATAAATCAATTAAATCTACACATTTGTGTACTTATGAGAAGCATCAAAAATCGACAAATTATGATTAAAAAAAGCAGCCAAATAAACTATTTAAATGTTTATGAAGAAACATTCTGAATAATCTGGTAAAGACTCATGTTTCTGTGGACGTTGTTTTCTTTTGCATACAATCACACTTTTTGGCAGACCTGCTCGTTTATGCCAGAGAATCATGTGTTTCTGACTCAGTACCCACATCACAGACAGGGCTCAGAGGTTCACTTCCTGTCAGACTGAGCTTTCGGATGGGCGAGATGCGTGATCTAAGCGATTCAGAGCGTGTTATGATTGTCGGTGCCAGACGTGCTGGTTCCAGCATCTCAGAAACATCTGCCCTCCTGGGATTTTCACTCAGTGCAGTGTCTATGGAGGATAGTGTGATAAACAAAAAAGATTCGGCAGCAGTCCTGTGGGTGAAAACACCCAGTTAATGAGAGAGGTCGGAGGAGAATGGCCGGACTTGGGGAAACCAAAGCGAAAGTCACAAGTGCAAAAATGTCACGGACCAAAGTCCATAAGGAGAGTTCTGAGCAACTTAAGGAAATGAGTCTGTTTGTATCAAATATCTGACTCAACCAGTACTGGGCAGGTTTACTGAATCAAGTGCTATTATGAAACATTTTTATCAGGTCAAGATTTAGAAGAAAGGCCAAAGTTGCAGAAAACATAAAAAGGTACCTGACATTTAACAGGTTCTTCTATCCAAAGTGACTGTCATGACCTGCTCGTTTGATCCTCCTGTGTGCCACGCCCACCTCGTTACCTCATGTCAATTCCTGATTGTCATCACCTGTTGCCTATTGTTTTCTACCTATCCTGTGTATCTAGTCTGCGTCTGAGTCAGTATTCCTCAGTCCGGTCATTGACGTTGTGTGCAGTTCTGCTTGTTTTTGTCCTGTCCGCTTGAAATAAACCCCATTTGCCTGAATCCCAGGCTCGGCTCGCTTGCTTCCTCGCTTGCCCGCAAGCCTCTACAACAGTGACCTACATTTTCACAGGGTCGGTCAGCCTGTCCCCAGAACAACTGGCGGGTTAAGAACCTCACTCAAGGGTCCAACAATGACATCACCATGCCGACGTCGGGATTTGAACCGATGACCTTCCGATCACAAATGCAGCCTCCTTACCTACTGAGCCAGACAACACATTAGAGTGCTGATGGCACATTCGCCTGATCACTCAGAGTGCTGTGAAACTCTTCCATCAAGCATGAAGCATTTGCAATCCCGGCACAGTTTAAAGGTGATCGCAATATTTCCGGCAGATAAAGACTGGCTGTTCTACAGGTGACCTGCTGGCCTCTGTTTAAAACTGGATTATTATTTTCAGTACTTGCTGACCAGAATGCATGCACATAATCATGACCCCCTTTCTGTGTAATCACATCGCTCTGACATTATGGTCAGCAATTAATATTTTATTTCCATCCATCTGTACTCAGAAAGAAATTCTATATGGAAATTTTGTACTAGAACTTGCCAGCGATTTCTTCAGAGGGAAAACAAACATCATCTGATTTCAGGAAATCCATACACACTGTGGTACTGGGGGCAGAGAGGCCGAAGGGTGCTTAGGTTACACATCTGTGGGGGATGCAGTCAAATTCGCAAAAGCAAAAAAAAAAAAAAACACAAAAATCAATAAAACTAAGAGTAAAGAAAATGACTTTACCATGGGCTGTGTTATATACTTATGAAATATACACACACTTATGTAAGAAGCTCACTATCTCTTCTAAGGGGAGTCAAAA